GTTATACAGTCCCTGGCCATATTATTAGAAGCACCCAAAATTTTCAATAAAAGTCACGTTTTTGTGACGAAAAATGTATTTTTTTATTTCTAACGAAATACATAAGTAATAATTGAATACTTACGATACAAACAAGATATCATATGCAAAATTATGACTTTCAGTATAATATATAAACTAATTTTCATAAAAAATCTCCATGCACATGTATATCTTTAATGCTTTGTCAGGCCACCTTTGGCGACTATTAGATCTTTAAGTCTTTTTGGTATGCTAATAATGCATGCCTGAACTGTTTCTTGCAACTTTGGATGATGGTACCAGTCTTAAATTATTTTCTCAAGGAGGCGAATTTTTGTTGTTATTTCTTCCTTTGCGATTTCCCACTTCATGTGCTCCCAAACATTTTCTATTGGGTTCATATCTGGTGAATTTACTGGCCATGGTAACACTGGAACATTTTTCTCCAACAAAAATCATCGAACTGTTCGAGTAGTATGACATGGAGCCCCATCTTGCATAAAAACAAATGATTCTTCATTTGTGAACCATTTCTGTAGTTGAGGCAGCAGTCGTTTCTCCAATACTTGCTTGTACTGTTCTTGTTTCATGATGTCCTTAACCAAGTACAGACGCCCCGTGCCTTTGCCACTGATCACTGACCAAATCATTGCCTTGACTGAATGTTTCACAGTCTGGATGACACAATCTGAATAATACTTTTCACCAGGGCGCCTTCTCACGAATTGATGTTTGTTTGCTACAATTTCGAAAGTCCATTCGTCGCTAAAACAAACCTGAAATACAAGTAAATGACATTAGAATTAATTTTGGTAGCCATTTATAATTATAAAAAAGCATTCGACTAAATTTTTACCGATTTCCAGAAGTTCAAATTTTTATTCTTAAGATTCTTAGCCCATGCAAGACGGTTTTCTTTCATACCAGTTGTTAATCTGGGTTTGTGGGTTGGTCTACAAGCTTTAAAATCCATTTGTAGTAGTGTAAGCCTTACTCTCCTTTCAGATACACAGATTCCACTACTTTCCAATTTAAATTTAATTTGTTTAGTACTAGCAAAACTGTTTTCATGGCAAATCTTTCTCAAACATCTCACAGATCTTGGTGAAAATATTCTCTTCCGTCCACATGTGTTCTTTCTTCGTGCGGATAATTCTTCAGCAAGGACAATTTTTTTCTTAATTTGCCGAATACGTGTATCGGATACGTTCAACCTTCGAAATATCTCACGATTTGAATAATTTTCTGTGTCGACAAGAACTTTCACTGCTGCGATCTTCCGAGGAGACAAATCACTTGCCTTTCCCATTATTTGTATTTAAAACTATCAGTTTTTCGTATACAACAATTCACAATTTTTAAATAAACACGGCAATAACTATTTCACAAACTAATAAAAGTAAAATAAACTATCTTCATGCAACAACACACTACTCACGTCACCTCTTGTTCTACTCAACTCTTGTAATTTGTGCGTCTAAGCAACAATGAGGTGTCACAACAATGGTACATAATGACAAATAATGTGTTGATTATTAGAAACAGAAGCTTTGTTTTTATTGATTGATTTGCAACAATGCCAGATGTAATGTACGGCAATGAGAGACTTCAAAACTTAACATTTTGATAAAAATGTGGAGTGCGTCTTATAATATGGCCAGGGACTGTAGTATATACGCTGTTTATTGGACATCATAACGATCGATGTATAACGTCTCCTAAGATAGATGAGTCACAGTTTAAGTTTAGCCAGTTGGTTGAAGCGGTAAGAAAAATTTCACGAGTGGAATAGTCATTGTAATGTATTTCTAAAATTTCTGAACAAAACTGTTTGAACCTCATGCCAGATGGACAGGGGTTCGACAATTTGGACAAAAAAACCTATGCATGGTTTAGACGCTAGTGATGTTCACAGACGGACAAGGGGACAAACTGCCAGAGAGACATACAGGCAGACGGACGGACAGACAGACGGGCGGATGTCTGGACGTTTTGAAATTAACCACTTTTTCGGTATCAGGGGGGGCGAAAACTTGTATTTTCGTCGAAATCTCAAAATCTCGATTTTCCGCAGCATTACATAACTTTCCCTATACTATACGGAGTTTATACGTACGTATACGGGGAAAGTAAAAATAACAAAGACAAGAATTTATCAAAAACTGCTCCAAATTTTTTCTTTAAAGTTTTGAAAGGGATAGTGCTAAATATACTCTATTAGATGATAAAAGCCATTTGAAAGTATTCTTTTGTTTTTCCAAAAATCACAAAATTTAATTGGGCATCTCTCTCACGTGTTAAATATTTCCACCATCAGCAATTTGTGTAACTTGTTGATTTGATGCGTGCATGTGCTTCAAACGATCTCTTATAAAGTTTTTCGAAAACTTGAAAGTGTTCTGTGCAAATAAGCTTCAAAAATTTCGCATATACAGTAACGTTTAAAATCATTTTCTTAAAAACGGCTCAAATTTTTTCAACAAAATTTTCATGTAGGGCGAGGTTATTTTCTTCTTTTATATTCTTAAGCAGTATTTTGTTGTACAAAAGGAAACCAAAAGATTGAGAAAATTTTTAAAAAATGTACTTAGGATGGCGATAAATGGCAGCTGGCAAAGGGGTAGGGAAAGATCGAAAAGCTAGCTCAGACGAAACACCACTGTTATATACTTCATCAGCAGTAGCGGGAAAGTACAAATTTTTGGAATTTTTTTAAAATAAATGCAGTCTCAATGAAAAATAACTTGCTTTCCTTGTTAATATATATTTTTCCAATTATTCACGTAAATATGTAAATATATATTTTCTAATTAATAGTAACTTGTCATACATCAACTCTAAACATTTTGTTTTTTAATCATTCTTGATAAAATACATACTCACATAAACATTTCCTCTTCTCCATCGTTTTTAGTACCTTCGCGTAACAGGATTGCGATCACGGAGCGGACGTTCGAAATGATTTCTCTGACCGCAAGTTCAGATGCAGATACGTTACTTCCTCTCGGCAATTCACTTAAGCTGTAGGTTGGATAAACCAACTACTTAATGTGATAAACCAATTAACAAGGTTGGATAAACAACGTTAATTCCACACGTCAGATCTATGAGTAAATAACTTCTCAAAGATTATAAACTAAGAACTACGAAAAACTAACTATAAGAACTAAGGAATAAATATAAGAAATATAACTAACTATAAGAACTATGAGAAAATAACTTCTTCCAAGTTTATACAAACCAATATCGACAAGAAATGATGACATTTTAAACATATAAAGAATGTTTAATAGAAAACTAGCAAAACCATGCAGACATTGTCCTACTCTCATCCCCCTCTCCTCCCTCGCACTCATTTCCCCTCTCTCTTTCCCTTTTCTGTGCCCCCTCTCTTCTCTTTCTTTTCCCTCTCACTCTTTTTATCCACTTTCTTTCTCTTCCCTCGCTCATCGCTCCTCTCACCACCCCGTGCCGCCTTCTCCTCCTGCCTTCCTCGACCGCGTCCCGCGTTACACGGCAACAATGAAGCCCAGTGGCTCAGTTAGCGCGCTCGCTTTCCGCGGCGCAGCCCAGGGTTCGATTTTTGACCGGGGCAAAATATTATGTCTGCGCATCCCTTACAAATGTCCCAGTATCTATTGCTGTGTAACGATGAGAAAGCCCACCCTAAGGTTATGAAGACCAGAGTATACGTTGAAGGGATGCCTTCGTGCTAACCACACGAACCCCTTATCCCACAGCCGAGAGGCCGGACCACTGCTAGTCGGCCAAGGCCCGTAGCGGGTTGTGGTGCCAGAGGGCTGGACAGGATTGGGAATTGGATTTTACTGATGAGCCATCTAATGGAGTCACAACAAAATGAACGAAATAAAAAGCTTCTCCGTGAGAAATTCGTAGATGTGCTAAGGAGATGTGCTTTGTGGAGATCGGTCAAACGGTGCCGGTGTTCATCTATCTCGAACATACCTTCATCCTTTTTATATACCGAGATAAAATATGCTTCGACTTCAAAAAGCTTGTAAAGCAGTTCTTGATTAAAAAATAGTGCAGTCGATAAGTCATTTTGTCTTGCAAAAGGTGAGGTAGAAGATTTTACTTCTTTGTTTTCTGCATATTGTTATCAATAAGAAAACCCCATGTTTTCCACCTCAAAATACTTTGGAAAAAGTTTTGATAGCCGAAAGCCCCAAAACATTCTAGCATTTCTTTGTTTTTCCACAATAATTTTGGTTCATTATAGTGCAAAAATAGTTATGTACAATTTTAAAGGTCTCAAAATTCTTTACAAATTTATTTTATAAATTATTTTTCTTGAGCAAATAGTAACAGAGCTTCGAGGTGGTACAATTTTGCCAAATTTTCTCCAGATGCTCCAAATTACTAATGTTTCACTTATGTGGTATTTTTTAATTCTTGAGATCGTTATTAATAAAAAGCGATAAATATTAATGTTTTTAATACTTTCTGAGGTTAAACTCGTGTTTCAAAGTTTTAGAAAGAGTGGCGTATACGTTGTGGCAACTAACACGAATTACGTAGATCAAAAGCGTTTCAATGGAATAAAATGACGTTGGTCCTTCTTTTATAATAATTATTAGTATCAATACTCACAATCACAAGAAAGGCTGATCTATCCACTAAGAAATTTTGTGCACAAGGTTATGATGTCATGAACTTGCGATCTGAAAATCTATTAGTCTAAATTAATTGTGCTATTAATAGGGATATGGAATAAATATAATTTACTCTACTCCTGCTTAATATTGGTGACGATAGAAATCGTGAAAAGCAACGCACTTATATATATTGAACTCGTGCGCGAATATTTTACTTATACTGTAATCACATGCTCCACGCACATATTACGTACTTGTTTAAGTTAATGTATTTCCGTAAACACCTTGAACAAGGAAAAAGATAAATTTGTTCTCGACTAGTCACCTCCCTCCAGAATCGCTACCTCCCCTTACTCCTGCTGCACCAATTGACTGTGCGCCGAGAAGCTGGGTGGCATTGCCACTCGTAAGAGAACTGCAGGGCTCGGAACAGTTCAGTGACGGAAGGCATCGAGTCGCTACGTTTGGATGTGGTACGAGAAGTGGTGTTTCAATTAACCTATCTCTTTCTTCGAAGATTTGAGCCGAGGGCGTAACCACATTATGTACAGGTAACAAATATATTGCCTTTGGATAATAGTATCCCGAGGTAATTGATTATTTAAGGGAATATCATTGTAGAATTAGAAATAATACACTTTTGGTCTGATATTATTTTTACTACTAGTGTTAGTACACTGCTCAGTATTTATTACGAGATTTTTATTATTTTTTTATCAACAATTTTGAACGAGATATTTGAATAACGTGTGATGATTACTATTCGCGCAAGATTTCTTGATACACGAGCTCCCTAGTCCTCATCCAGCGCTGAATAGCACGGCACGTTGAGATACTTAGGTTCGACTCGGAACGGCACGTACCAATTTACAATGCTACCAACAACCACCTCGTACTTTCAAATCAATCGTAGCATTTCTCGTGACACGTTTTGGAGAGTTAAGTTCATGTCTACAATTGGTACGCCCTTTTAAGCCGTGACGTAGCCAGAGCCCTCCTCTCCTCGCACCCCCCGCTGTGGAATATCAAGAAAACTTACGCGTATAGTACGTGAGATGGGCTGTCTGCAATTCAAACCTTTCGCCTTTTTAATTTCCAGTATTCGTAACTTAAAGAAAGTTCGTGCAGATAATGTCGAGATTATTTCGAGTTTGAGATATCTTGATCGCAAACAAGTGTGTTTACCTGCTTGTATATGTAATCTATTATGTAGTCCTACGTTGCATACAGTATGTTTTAGCACCGAATGCATAACATGGACCTCAGAGACACATACGTATAGTACTATTACATATGAAGTAAACATGTATCTATAAACGGTCATGGTAGTCTGAATAAATGATAGTCTGCGGGAGAATATAATTTATTTGGCTTTCTAAACGACAAGACACGAATTTACATGAAAATATGTTTATAGTTAAGCAGTTGCCAAACGTGATTACAGCCCAGTTACCTGGTGCTCGAAAGCGCACGATTCAAGGATAAATACATCTTTTTTCTTATGGGTCCTATACATTTTTGGAGCGTTCAATTCAAATTTTATGTGTATCGTCTTGAGGAATGTCGACTTTTGAGAAAAAAAGCGCTTAAAAACCCTAAACATTTTGCACTTTTTTGTTATTTTCTTATCTTCCTACACCTATGCGCTTTATTGAAAATAATAGTTTAGTAAAACTTAAGTACTCTTTATCCAACAAGAGAATGAAGTGAATGTAAACATTGTCTGCTGGATCGGCAATTCGTTCCAAATCCGCGATACACATTCTGCCTTTTACTTTTTTAATACATGTGTAATAAAGTAGTTTCGTAAAATTCAAGAAAATTCTCGTAATATGCAGTAGAAAATCATATGTAAAATTCTGAAATAAGTGTAAAATTACTTTCCGTTATATATGTGTTGCTTGAGATGAGAGGGTTGCTTGAGATGAGTACGAGTATGTAGAAAAAGAATGGCGAACCGTGCAAATAGCATGATGAAACTATTTCAGTTGGATGAATAAGTGTAAAAGAGGCACATTATAATACCAAGATCATTTGTTTAAAATTGTATGTGACTGTCTACGTGACATGTCTCTTGAGTGTATTCTATGTAATGCATTTTACCTTCTCGTTACCCCTGCCGCGGTAGAAAGTAATGTAATGCTGCGCGACAAAACGGCGAATTTTCAGCAGAAAAACTTACAGGACTCTGGTAGCGAAAATATGGCTAAATACAGTTGCTAAATTTAGGAAAAAATCCTCTAACACTTACGGTAGCCATGTTTTATGGGTCGTTGTTGCCGAAGAATCGATTGACGGCAAAAGTCTGTCTGTGAGCAATGCTAGCGTATAAACCGTTCAACCGATTTTCTTCAAAATTGATGTTCTTCGATGATGTGGCTGAAGTCGCGTCAATTGAATTTGAAACCGATTTTAATTCTGGATGGCACTTTATTTGAAGATCCTTAGACATTTTCAAAATTTAAAAAAAAATTGGTCATTCGGTTTTAATTCAACTTTGTTGTTGGATAGTGTAAAGAAGTTTAAGAGAATGGTGCAGGTCTCTCATGTTTGTTGAAACCTCAGATTTTTCGAAAATTGCAATAACTCCAATTTTTTATGGAGGTGTTCTTACAACTAAAATATTAAATATATATATTTTTCTCTTAATACAATCTGTTCCTTAAAGATAGATTTTGAAATAAGTTCACGTACAATTTTTTGGAAATTTGAGTATTTTGTGTGTAATTGTGAGTAAAATATGCAATTTTTAATTTTGTTAACACACTTTTTTCTCAAAAACCGTTCCATTGTTTTTTTTGAAATTGGGATATTGGATAGTGTGAAGGACGTTTAAGAAAATTGTGCTGATCTCATGTCTGTTAAAAACCCCGACTTTTCAAAAATTGAATACTTTTCAAAATTTGTTCGTCGTCTTCCTGGAACTACAATTACGAAACTAATTTTTTTATAATCACATGTGTGCATCAAAAACAGATATTCAAATAAGGTCATGTTAAATTTTTCAAAAACATGAGTATTTTTGCGAAATTTTGTGTCAAACATAAGTAATTTCTATTTTCTTAAAAACCACCCGCTTTTTTTATTAAGTTCGGACCTTAGATAGCATAAAGGACCCTCAAGAGAATGGTGCAAGTCTTATGTTCGTTGAAATACCTAATTTTGCGAAATATTTTTAAAAAATTGGTGTCTACAACTACAATTATGAAGATACAATTTCTTCTTAATGAAATCTGTTCATAAAAACAGATCTTTAAATAAGATCATGTTGAATTTTCTGAAAATAAGTATTTTTTGTGTTATTTCGAAACAAACATAATAGGCTCACAATTGACGACGCTTTGTGAACTTAATAGAGGTAATTCTAGCAGGATGCTTCGTAACTTAAAATTTGTGTATTATTTCATATTACTTTGTTCGTTTCTTGCATTCGAGATTTTGTTATACGTTTACAAATTAATCTTATATCATTTATTTAAAAACTATTTTAATTTGCGATCTTTAATTGTGTTAAATGTGGAAACGAATAGATGATTTCGCTTTGCATAATAAGATGTGAAAATGAAGAGTAATGCTCGTAAAAACCGAGTAGTTTTGATGAATATAACAATGCAATTTTTAATTATGATTTTTTGTACCTATTTTATTTTTCTTGCCAGGGGTATCAACAATGATAAATTTCAAAATGTATCCTGTACGAATTAGTGGTCATTATTGCGTGTTGCAACACATTGTGGTATTCCCTCACTGATAACAAGGCGATAAGATGACGCGCCAGATCGTTTCGCGTTAATATAAACTAATAATTTTATTTACGGCTTAAATACTTCACCGGCATCGGTGGTATATTAATGTAGAACGTGGCAATGGCAGAAAGCTGTGTTTTGTTAAAACGTTTGAACTATAATTTATATATATATTTATATATATATATATATATATATATTATATTCACGATTCGTTTGTTTAAGAATTTTTCTAATGGTAATTGAAGTGAGTGAGAGAAATAGTCGTATTATATTACATAGCTATTAGCAATATTGCGAGAAAGTACGTACTGTTGTAGCACCATTAGTCTCATTAAAATGTCATGAGTGAACTATCGTCTACATGGCTGGCATCGTTGGAAATCGTAAAACATGCTAAGTTGTGACAGAATCTGACGAAACAACTGCTATTTTAAACGTATTCAATTCATCACGCTGCAGCGCGCTGGTCGAATTCGGAACTTTCAATTGATAGGCCCGTAGCTTCGTTTAACGTGTTGTGCGTTCACAAAATGGCCACATGGCAGCTGGATTTTCGAATTTTTGTGATTTTTGCCGGTCGGGTTAATTCTACGATATAGATAATATTCTTATGAAAGAAAACAGATTTAAAGGAAGGTAATACAATCGACACAGAAATAACAAATACATTTGTTTTACTTTAAAAAAGTTTTGTTGGCTGACTATGGAATTCAAATATTGTTTGCTCACTTCGGTGTAAACAAGGCAACATGTGAAATATTATTCTTTCTTTTCTGTATAATGTGCTGCAAATACTTTAATAGTTAAATTCAATCATGTTTGTTTCATTTGTAAGAAATGACTACTGTTTCTGGCTATAGAAATAAACGCGGATATGCAACGTAGGCACTTCATTTTAATTGGACTTTTTCAAGTACCTAAGTTTTTATTGAGATAAAAGTTACAATATTTCAAAATACGAAACTATATCCAATAACGCCAGAAAGTATGTATTGTTGTAGCACCTCCAGTTGTGTATAAGCAACAGTTATGCGTCTGGAAATTGTCTGTTTGCTAATCGGAGAGCAATGCGTAATAACCTCAAACGAATTTACCAGTTCGAATATTTGAAAATACAGAGAGTACACTGAAAATTTGACCACCGCCACTTTTTGTGTCGTCCTTTGCTACATACGTGAAAAATAAATTAAAGATAAACTTTGGAACTGTTTCTGAGAAAATAATTGTTTAAAATATAACAATTGCCTATGTTTGATACAAAAATTACGCAAAAATACTCATATTTTCGGAAAATTGATCATGACCTTATTTGAAGATCTGATAAATCAATTTCGTTAAGAAAAACGTATTTTCAGTATATTAGTTGAAGACGCCGTAAAAATTGAGCTTTTGCTATTTTCGAAGAATCGGAGATTTCAATGATCCGTCAACAAAATATACTCACTACAAGTGGAGTCATTTTTTTTTTAAATTTTGAAGATATCCCTGGGGCTTCATGTAACGTATCCGCCAAAATTAAAATATCGGTTTCAAATTCAAGAGGCCGCGACATCGGTCAGATCGGTTGAGAAATATCAATTTTGATGGAAACCGTTGGCGTTGTTCACAGACAGACGGACAGACGTTTCGCCGTCAAAATATTTTTCTATACCAAGGAACCACAAAACATGGATTCTGATTACAAAACGTGTTAAAGGAAGTAATTTTCTATATGTATGGATATAATTTATCCACTTTTTCGATTCCAGAGCCCGGTAATATGAGTTTTGTGTCGAACATTCGCAGTTTTTCTCGCTGCATTT